AGCAGGCTGGAGGCAGAGAGCTCGGGAGCCTGGGACGCAGCGTTGGGCCTCATCCCACTCTCCCCACCTGGGACCTGGAGGCGGAGGTCTCACCTGAGCCCCAAAGCTAAGCCTGCTTGCAGATGGAGGCTCCTGGGGCAAAAGACGCAAGTGGAACCCCACAGAGTCAAAGCCATCTGACCAGCCGTTGGGCATGAGGCCACATGCGCAACTTATTTCATCTGGGCCCCAGGAGACCCAGCCAAAGAAGTGAGAAGAGCTGGGATGAAGGGAGCCAGCAGGCTGTGGGCGAGTCTTGAGCCACGCACGGCCCGATGGCGATCCCGACGTCAGTCAGGTATTTAATGGCACCCGGGTCTGAGCACCTTCGGCAGACGAGGAAGAGCTAGGCAGTTGTTCATGGCAAGCAGAGGCAGCAGCTATAAGCCTCTTGTCTGAAGTTGTTCTGACACCAGATGGTGGCTCTGAACCCAGGCCCAATGCCAAGCGCTGGAAGCCACACAGCCGGAGCTTCCTCTGGGCCCACAGAGCTGCTGTGGACCCCTGACATCCCCTCCAGGCCGATGCCCACGTTAGAAAGGTGCGCTCTGCTTTCTACAGATGACACCAACCCAGGAAGAGGATTGTGGGAGAAGCTGCTTTACACAAAGTCACCCTTTTCTGAGTGCAAGGTTTCTAAACTAGCAGCAGCCTGGACAAGGGACTAATTGGGTCTGAGCCCCGCAAGCTTAAGACCGTAATGAAAAATTCTGCACAATGTGACCACATCTGCACAGCTGAGTGAGCAAAGGGGCAGTGGACCCTGATTCCTGTGGGTAAGCGTGCTGGGAGACCTGGCTGGGAGCAGACCGTACATGTGGCGGAGGCACGTGGACACAGAGTGGGACACTTTGTACACAGTTACGGGGCTCGGGAAGGGCCAGGGTAAATGAGAGCTTGTAGAAAAGGAGGGCAGTGGCAACGTGGAAAATCCTGTACTGCGGTGACAAGGAAGGAAGAAAAAGGCACAAAGACGACACCCCCCAAACCATGCAGACAAAACACAGCCTGTGCAGCACAGCAGAGCGGAGGGTCCCCGCAGGAGGAATGGTCTCTGGGGACAACAGCACTTAGATCCTGCAGGGGTGGCCCTGGATGCCATTCCCAGCCACCTCCTCCCGGTGGCTTGGGGTAGACATCCTTCGGTTAGTCACAATGGAAAGTGAAGCACAAGGTTGGAGCGCCAAAATCGTGTGGCATCATGCTTTGCAAAAGTCTATACTACAAACCTTTCTAGAGAGCAGTCTATTATCCTAGGTAGGCAGCCGAATGTGGCACAAGGGCCTGAGCTGTCCTGCCACGCAGGTAGGGCAGGCCTATTGTCCTGGCCTCTTCTGCTCCCTGCCCTTGCAGGCACACATTGGATAGCCGGATGGCAGGACCTGGAGATCCCTAAGGTCAGGAGGGAAAGGACGTGGTCAAAGTCACCTAGGAGGGCATGACCCCTCTACCTTGAGGGCCCTCAGCAGTGGGCCTGAGTCTCATCAGCCTGAAGCATTGCCCTAGTGGGGCTGCCCTAGTCCCAAAGGAGGAAAGGCCAGGAGGATGCCGGCAATGAAGTTCTGAATGGCCCCCTCTCCTCGATCTAAAACCCACTTCGGGCCTTTAAAATTGTCACTGCAGGTTTGCCAGGACAACAAAGCCATTTCCTTGGCATGCGGACCATCCAAAAACTTCCCCTGTTCCAATCACATCTACAGTTAGCTTTTGGGTTTAATTTGTTAATGCATTAAACACACATTCCGATGGAGCACAAAAAGAGGGCTAATTTCCCCCCGACCCATAGGCTCCATTTGCGTGTAGGCCTTTGCCGGTTATTAAGTCTCCTGTTGGAACAAAAGAGCCCACACTGTGCCGACCCCTGACCACTAGAATGTGGCTGGGCCAGGAATCAGACTTGCCCCCAAATGGATCAGAGGCAAAAATCCACAAAGCCAGTGTCTCCTCCTGCTCAGGTGTGTGAGTAGGTGACTGCTATTTCTGAGGCTGCCTTCAGGAGGCCAGCTCTGTTTGTCAGCTCTTTATTCCTGAAAAGGAGCGTCCTGATGACTTTGATTAAATTTACTTTTAAATCCTAGCTCTAGAAATCACCTCTCTCTTTATACACACACATGTACATGTGCCGCTCAGAGACCCAGCTTTTCCCCAGTAGGTAATCGGCAATTCCCAAGGAAGCAGAGGACAGTGGCCTGGACCTGACTAATGGGCACACTGACGGTCATGCAGTCTGACCCCTGGCAGGCTAAAGATAACATCTGGACCTAAGTTGTTTCAGCTCCTGAGCCCTAAGGTGGAATGACCCCCTGACTACTTTCCCATGAGACCAGACATTGGGACACCAGAAAAGACCTCAGAGCTGTCCTCAAAATCTGAAGAAATGATTTCTTACCCTTACCTCGTCTCCGATCAATCAGCTCCCAACTCAACCCTGAACCCCTAACCCACAGTGTCTTGTGATTTTGTCCTATATAATCTGTAACCTACACGCCATCAGGGAGTTTGGGCTTTTGAGCATGTTCTCCTGGATGGCGCCACTGGTCAATAAAAGAACCAGTATTTCTCCATTGTAATTCTCAGTTTAGGGTTTGGCTCTGCTAGCGCCAGGTGGACAAACTCTTTCTGTCCTGTAACAACTCCACGCTGTCCTACTCCCACTCTGGAATGGGCCCTCGGCCGATACATTCCAACATGTGTCACCCATTGACTCCATGGGGCACCAGGGCAGGCTTGCCCACTCAGGTTTACTAACCCCCAAGCTTATGAGAACAGCTGGATCTACCAGCTCCTGAAGGCATCTGACCTCCCATGGCGGGGTGGGATCTGCTAACTGACCATCTGACATTCTAACAGGAAAAGCCACTGACATCTCAGCAGACCTCGCCATTATCCAGCACCTGGATTAACAAGCCCAACAGCCATTTCCATCAGATTTCTCTACCTCTGGCCAGCAACCTTTTAGGATGGGGCCTCAACCTCAAAGCCGGGGCCACACCACACCGATTAAATCTCAGTGAGGGGTGGGAGGGCGGTGTCAGCCCAGTTAGCAGAATTTTTGAAATCTCCCCAGGTGATTTCAAAGAACAGCCAGAGCCCAGAACTACTGTTTCAGGTTCAAGTGCTTTGGAAGTTCTCGAGCTGTTTTTAATGGGTCACGAATAAATGCAAAATAAAAGGAATTTCCCTTTTATAATTTGCGAAGAATCTACACATTTAAAATAAAATAACTTGTCAAACTCTGGCCAATTCTAAGTTAAAATTTTCTTTTTTTTACTAGAACTTTATTTCTTATATCTTCCCACAGAATAGGACCTACCTAAACCAGAAAGTGCTTCCTTTTCTATTGGATGCAATATATAAAACTCACTTGCTGGTTTAATGAATATTGTTTGGCTTGAATGCCAAGAACAGCCCAGTGTCATGTAAAGTGTGAGTCTGCGGCAGAACCCACTCCCCAACAACCCTCACTCCCAACCTGTCTGAACTTCAGACAAGTTACTGCTAATCTCTATTTGGTAGAGTTGCCAGGTTTGGCAAAAACAAAAACCTACGCAGGACACCCAGTTAAATTACAATCACCTGGGGAATTCTGTCAAAGTTCTGATGCCTGCGTCACACCCACACCAATGAAATCAGAACCTCTGGGGATTCCATCATTATCAGAATTTTAAAAATCTCTCCATTTAAAATATGTCCCAAGTATTGCACAGAACATACTTCTACTAAAAGTTATGTACCTGAATTCAAACATAACTGGGCATCCTGTATACTAGCAGCCCCAGAACTGACAGAAAAGGGCAGGACTCTCAATTGAAAACAAACGGAGGAGGAGAAAACACAGGAGGAGAAGAAAACACAGGAGGAGAGCAGGGTCTGCCCCGCCTGCACCCAGAGGTAGTACAGCTCTGGAACCCGCCCAGGGGCGTCTGCCCTCCTCAGGCTAGCTTTCGAGCACAGAAAAGCATTTTTTAAAAAGCTACATGGTCTTAAAAAGTCAATTTGACAGACTAGGTTTTACAAGATATATTCTGGCTGAAGTCAGAAGGTTGATTTAACTTGAGGTGGGTGTTACATGCAATTCAGTCTCATTTTAAAGTCAGCCGTCTTCCAGAGACCCCAAGCACTGCAGCAGGTCCAGAGGGGCCTTCCAGACTCAGTGCTTGCTCTGGGAGTTGTTCCTGTGGCGCCTCTTTCAGGGAGGGGGACACAGAACACTGTAGGCTGACAGCTTTCTCCCGCCCCCTTGCCCCACTGGCAGAAATTCTTTCCCATATTGTGACTCTGTAACTCAGGCCTCTGCAGCCTTCTCTGGAATTCCATGTCAATGCAGCTAAACAGCACATAAAGTTTTACATATAAAATCTTTATCCTGGGGCAAGCCCCCCACAGACCAGGCCAGCTCTGGCTGGCCTCTGTGCTGGACTCGTTTCCTAGTAAAACCCAGACCAAGGCCAAGTCACGATTCCTCTGCTTTCCTTTCCTTTAATTAGTGGCCACTTCTTCCTATTAGCAAATTCTCAAGAGACCCACTTCTAATGCCTTCTCTCCACTGCCACTTCTCAGACCTTCAGGAGAGCCCAAGGAGACCAGTGTCCTAAGGGATGGAGAGACTCCTAGAAGACAGACCCCTGCCCTAGTCTTCCTCCTGTGGGTGTCCCCCAGGTCCTGGATCAGACCAATGCAGCCCTGTGATTTGTAGCATGGAACAGATCTCACAAATATGCTTTAAAAAAAAAAAATCACGAAATCCAACAAAATCAAAAGTTGACTGGAATGAGGTAAAGAGCGGTCCCAGCCACGGTTCTGCCTTTGTGAGCAGGGGACACATACTCAAGTCCCCAGACCCCCCTTCACCCTCTTCTCCCTTTCTTCTCTGCGTACACCCCTCAAGACCCTCCCCAACATGCCCACACTTTCTCTTTGACTCTAGAAGTGCTGAAGAAAACAAACTGCAGGGGGGAAAGTAAGACTATCCATGTTTATGTAAATTTGGATTGAGGAAACGAATCATAAGCCATATAAAATTGAGAAACACCGGAAAACTCAAAGGAAAGTACTGTATCTACTCCCAGCCACCTGGAACGAAATATCTCATTAAAAATCCAGAGCATGAATTCCCACAGGTGTCACAAGGATGGAGGACTGAGTTTCCCTGACTGCGTGTCCCACCGGCACAGCATCTGTTCCTCCTGGCTGAGAACCGAACGCGGGGATGTTTCTGAAAGGTGTAACGCAGGGGCCTCGCTACCCGGCCGAGCCGAACTCAGAGCTCAGGTTCTGAACATCCAAACCCCAGGCCTGCTGCCACCCGGCTGTGCGGAGAAAGGGAGTGGTGAGCAAGGCCCACCACTCCCAGCCCGCAGAAGCTGAGAGATGACCCATCCTCACTTCTCTTTTTAAAATGCAGTCAAGGGAAGGAAACCGGTGAGGATGTGAGCGTGCTCCTCCCTGAAAACCATGTCTTTGGTTGCCCGATGCCAACAGGTGCCTTAGACAGCGCCCCTGCCCTAGGTCCCCCAACCCCCTTCTCCTTCGCTTTACACCCAAGTGAATGCTGCTTATTTTTCACTGTCTTAAAAACAAACCAAAAACAGAAAGGGAGAGGTAGGTAAGCAGGGATGGGGAAGTGTAAGGGGGACTCTCGGAAGGAAAGTTGCCCCATGCGAGCTCCTTGGCAAGCCCGAATCCTTTGGACACACTGTGCACAAGCATCGCAGGGGCTGACAGCACAGAGGAGGATGCTGAGGGCCCCTCCTCACGTCCCCTCAAACGCTCCTTCCTCCTCTCTGAGCTTGAGCACCTGGGCTTGAAAGGCGGCCAAAGAGGTTGGCAAGGACATATCTGTTGGGCATTCGAACTCCTGGAAAAGGTCATACTTTTGCTCCCACCCCCAGGGGGAATAGGGTGGGGTGAAAGAGCCTGTTTCCCTAGAGTATTTCTTAATCCTCATCCCCAGAGGTAGAATCATTTTATCCAGTATCTGAAATGCAAGCTTCCAGTTCTTGATATTACAGTAACTCCTAAAAACAGACCTCACCTCCTCCCACCTCCAGGACTCTCTGTCCCTTGCAAAGGGACCACAAAGTACATGGACAGCTAACCGTGCAGATGTCACTGTCAGCCACGGCCGCACGTTCACCCCTTGCTGTGTGCATAGCCTCCCCACACCCACACCAGTACACGTTACATGGTGGCCAGAGACACATTTACAGTGTATGCGTGGGGCCCGGCTGGGGTCATGTCCTTAGGCAGGGTCTGCCCCTTGGTCCCAGGGTCCCAGGGTCCCAGGGTCCCGAGGCTGCTCTGCAGCCAGCCCCTTGTCTCAGTGTTTGATCTCAAGGATAGAGGGGTTATGGTCCAGGATGGCGAGGATGATCTTGTCCATGTACTGCCGCAGCCGGAAGTTGATTTCCTCCTGCTCCTTGAGGGCTTCCATGAGCTGATGGGAATGGGAGAGATGGTGAGAAGCTGGCCTGGACCAGGGTTTGGACAGAGCCCAGAAGCCGGGGTTCATGGTGAGTGCCAATGCCCAAGGACAGAACTCAGGAGACCCTGGGCAAGGTGGCCCCAAGACCAACCTCAGCACTCAGATGCCAGGACACGTATAAGTCTAAGGCCCAGCTGAGCTCACACCTAAGGGGTGCGAACCACGCAAATGACCAGGTTCCAGCCGCAGAGATTCTGATTTAGCTGCTCTGTGGAAGGGCCCAGGTGTGGGTGAGTTTTTGGTAAAGGGGAGAACACTGGTCAAAGGCATTTCTAATCAAGACTGACATCCGAAGCCCCAGGGCCCTAAGACTCGTAAGGCTGCCAGCTGTTTCTTCTGCCAAAAATGGCCCCCTCACTACCCCCTGCCCTGCCATCACCTCTCTCCAGGTTAACTCCTGATGAGTCCTCTACAATGTCACTGAAATGCTGTCTCTGCCCCTGGGCTGAAGGCTAGTGCCAGGCTTACCTGAGAGCTCCTGGAGGCCAGGGGTCAGCTTAGCTCTGTGTCCCAAGCACAGCGTAAGGGGTTCAGTGCATTAGGCTTTTAACTGCCTTAGGCTTGTTATAATTAAGTGGGGCCTGATCTTTTATAACCACGTGCCAGGGGGACAGAAAGAGAGGGCTTCGGCGCTAGAGGCCTGGGACCCTCTCCCTCTAAAAGCTGGATGATCCTGGTCTCCTAATCTGTGGCATGGAAGTGTTCAGACAGCCTACAAGTTGTCAGAAGATTAAGTGAAGACGTATTGCCAGCAGGTGCTCAAGAAATGCTAGCGTCCTTAGTGTCCTTCCTCTCTTGGCTTGGGGGAAGGGAGTTACAGACTCCCCGTGACTACATGTTGATGAAATCAACTGGCCATTTCAGAACATTTCTGGCTGAGTTAAGACTCGATCCCTGTTCTGCCCCCAAACTCAAGCTCCTCCCACCACAGGCAGGAAATCAGAGCTGATTTAACTCTGCCTGCAGATACTCCCCCTCAACGCTTTGCCCTGTCAGTTGGGGTAGCTGTGGATGGGGACTCAGGGGAGCCAGGCCCCGGTTTGCTTCTCTAGCTCTGGGCAGCCCAGGGCTTGTCGCTGAGGCAGGCGGGGATGGGGATAGGCGGGCCTGGCCCTGAGGTGAGATCGCGTGGCCACAATACCTCATCGCGCGAGGCTGTGTCTATTTCCGCAGCCAGAGACTGGGCTTTGGTCTGAGTGGCAAAGAGGTTCTTTGCTTCATAGAGGCTAAGGCTCAAGATCTGTCCATTCAGGTCATCATTCTGATCCCGCAGCTTATGATTCTCCTGTATGGACAAAGGCAACATCAGCTCCCGGCAGCATCCAGAACCCACCGAAACCCACTTGTCTGCACCCACTGTCTCCTGACTCTGACGAGTACCTGCCCATCAGATGTGTGTCACATCAAGATACCCATAGATGATGTGACCTCTCTCAGGCTTTGTGGGGAGAAGGGCTGGGTCCTGGGAGGCTATGGGGATTCTGAGGAGTCGTCACGGCCCTGCCTGGAGGAGCCACGTTTCTGGGCAGAAGCATGGCTCCTGGCTACCCGTTCGTCCCTGGGGGTGGATGAGCTAAGAGGAGCCCCTGAGGCCCTGTGTGGCGACACTGCCCACTTGATGGCCCTTCCACACTGGTCCTTGGTGAGGAGAGGTGCTGCTCTAGGGTCCCCGGGCTGGTGGGTGGCTCATCTCCGTGCCTCCTCCTGCAGCCAGGCTCAGGAATCCCCCTCCATCCTCACTCTGCAGCACAGCCGCCTGTGGGGCCCTGCCAGACTCTGTTTACCAGCTCCAAGCTCTAGCCTTTGCCTACAGGCTCCTAATCAACTGCTCACACCCAGGACTTTGGGTACCACCTTGTGGAAAAAAGAGAGCTGGGTTTTAGGGCTGCTGCGGGAGGGTGACCACCAGCTTCTCTGCCTCAAGTGGAACCAATTCAGAGGCCCCTGCTCCCAGGGTTAGGCTGAGTGTGAGGCTTCACCAACTGTCACTCCCTTGCTTGGTCACTGCCTCTCCAACTCCCCCCACCCCTGACTGGTTTCCAATTATAGAGGTGCTCCCACGAACCTTTTGAAATGGAACCTTGGGTTCAGGGGCTGCTTCCGGGAGACCCCAACACAGCGAGGCACTAATCTATGGCTGAGTAGAGTCTCATTCTCCACTTGTGTGCCCAGGACACAAGAGTGGTATCTATTTCTTTTTATGGATGCCAAGAAGAGACCCTGGGATTTCCATCAGATGTAGCCTAGAGAGAAGCTGCCTTGCCTGAGCTGTGAGATGGGGATAAGCAGCCTTGGCAACCAAGTTGTCAGATGGAGCAGACAGGAGCATGTGTGAGAAGGTGGTGCTACAGCTCTCGGCCCCCTCACAGGAAACCCGCCCAGTGGGGACTTGGACGTCTGATCCCACCAGACAGGGGCTCCCAGGGCCCACCTGTTTGAGCCGCTTGACCTCATGCTCCAGCTCCACCTCGCGGGCCCTGGCATTGAACTCGCCCAAGCTGGAGGATGAACCGCGGCCCCTGCCTGGCCGCTCACAGTCCAGCTTGTACATCTGCAGGTGCTCCAGCTCCTTCCGCAAGTCCTCGATGAGCTGCACGGGAGAGAGGCTCGTTGGTGGGAGGAGTGATGCGGGCGGGAGCCCTGGAGCCCTGGAGCCCTCTGGCCTACGACCCACCTCCTGCGTCGCCTCCCGCTCCTTTTGGAAGTCAAGGCGGTTCTGCCGCAGCTTGTCCATCATGCGTTTGTACAGGTCCATCTCATCCTTGAGCCGCAGGCTGGTGTCCTCCAGCCGGTCGGACATGCGCTGCCGCTCCTGCAGCCAGGGAGACAAGGTCAGTGGAGAAGAGTTCCCAGAGGGGCTCACTATGCCCCAGGGACTTCGCTGAGGGTCTGGCAGCCACCTCGAAAAATGGGGAATCAGACCAGCCCCTAGACAGAGTCCTCCAAGTCACAGCCTAAAGAAATGGCCAGATCCCCTAGGATTCTAGAAACATAGGTAGAAAAATTTCAGGCCTCTGAAGTCCGTTGATGATGCCAGATGAAACCTGGACTGAGGGTGGCAGCCTACACAGAAGCTAACCTCTTTCTCTTTTTTATTATTTCCCCCATTATAGAAGAAAATATATAGGCCTCCGATGGCCAACGCTGCCTCTCTGGATTCAGCTCAAGGTCCAAGTCTGAGCGATGCCTGGCCCTGCGTCTCACCTCATCCAGTTTCTCTGTTTGTGACTTGAGCCGAGTCACTGTTGTTCTAAGCTCAGTATTTTCCTCTTCTAATTGCTGCACCCTGGGGAAAGGAGAAGGACAAAAATGTCAGAAATGGAGATTATCTTTCAATGTGACAATTTCCAGCAATCCTCTGCTCCCTGGAGGAGGAAAGATATTAGAAAGCAAGAGAAAGGATATAAATCATTATTCCGGATAATAACATAGCCTTGAGCTTCCCATCATCCGAGCAGCCTTGGCAACCAAGTTTCCCATCATCCGAGGCAAAATGGTAGACACTTCCCATCATCCGAGCTTCCCATCATCTGAGGCAAAATGGTAGACACTGAATTATCATTCTTATTTTCTTGATAAAAGAGAATACCTATTTGTGAATAATAACATAAGCTTCTTTTTGCATGCATCCTTAGGACCTCAAACAACACAGGGACATGTTTTTCTCCTGTTGGAGAGAAAGTCTTCCTGTGGCTGTCTGCGACAGGACCCTCTTGGGGCAATCTGCAATTTGAAGGCAACCACCATATTTGTTTTCCATTCTTCCCCCAGCATCTCGCCCAGGGCTCTTCCCTCGGAGTACTCACTACAGCTGCCTCTGACATTCACAGGCATTGGTTCCAATAGTCGTAATCCTCTGTGGTAGCTTCACAAGGGACTGTCCTACTGTGACCCCATGAGAAGACAGAGCCTGAGTGCCCAGGTTGGTTTTAAATAACTTGAGAAGAGGGGAAGGTGAGTCAGGCTGTCTGTCGGTGGCGCCAGACCTGCGCAATCATTTCTGACATAGATTCCTGCAGAGCATTTTCTCTCCTTTCCACCGTCACTTCCTACTCCCTGGAGAGATGGCTTCCTGGTCTCCACTACCTTTTAGGCTCCCCCAGGAGAGGTGCCCCGGGCCAGGCTAGAAAGGAATCCAGATATATGGTCTGATGAGGCCACCTCACGGGGCACCTGAAATGGTGGAAGATGCGAGGAAGAAAGCACACTGCATAACTCAGAGCACTGTGTGCATATTCTACGTGGACAGCATCCTCTGGAGTTGTGCAAGGAGCATGGGTTAGGGGACAGTTCCCAAGAGGGCTGGCTTTCTGTGCTTTGGCCTTTGGCCCACACTCTCACTGTTTTCTTCCACCATCCATGTCCCAGATACCTCTCTCAGGCCAGCCGACCTGGCCAGCTGTCAGAAGCAAACAGAGAACAGGGACACTTAATAAGGTATCGGCCTCCAGAAATAGATGCAAAACAGCCACTTCTAGAACATGAGTGAAAACGTAAATGAACCCTTTGTTGAAAAAGTTAAGAAAGTTGGTCTCAGGCGCAGGGGAGCTGGGAGGTCTCCTCACTGAGCTGCAGAGGGCCACGGATTGCACAAGCTCCCCCGGCCCTGCTTGGCCTCTGCAGGCAGGGAAGCATCCCTGCAGACATGAGGCGCAAGGTAGGAACCCACCTGCCAGTCCGCCCTCCACCTCAGGTTCTGAGAAGGCTCAGCTCAGACACTGGGGCCTGAGGGGGACTGAGGAGGAGTACAGGTGTGGTGGTCCTCTCTGCCAGGGGCCCAGGTGGCCTCCCCAGCTCAGGTCGTGGTGAGGGCAGCTCTGGAACATCACTGCAACCCTCAGCTGTGTGCAGGGTTCTGATGTGCTTCAGCTTAACCACCTCCCTCACAGTCACTCTGTGGGACAGGCAGGGACAGATAGGGAAACTGAGGCCATAGTATGTTCAAGCTCGTGGGGCTGATGGGTGACGGAGAAACTGAGGCCTAGGAAGTGACATAGTATGTTCAAGCTCGTGGGGCTGATGGGTGACCAACCCAAACTGCCAGGTCAACACTCCTCTCCCTGTCTGCCTCAGGTTCTAATATCTGTACCAGAGGCCTAGGAGCCCTTAAAATAGCCTGGCTTTTCCATTTACCTTGGCCCATGGGGCCCGGGATCAGTGGAGAATCTGACAGTAGGGGGAGCTCCAAGCATGGACAACGGTTCCAGCCCAGGAATCAGTGCAAGACCACTGGTCTAAGTTCCTTTTTCTTACCCATTCTCTTGCTGATGGACACGTGGGTTGTTTCCTGTTCTACCTGATATAAACAATGCTACAGTGAACATTCTCTTACGTGCTTCCTAGAGAACATGTCCCTGTGTTGCGGTATCACAAGTAGAATTGTTAGGACACAAGGCTTTCCCTCTGGTTCAGTTTCCCATCTATGAAATGGGGAGAGCAGTGCCTGTCCCAGGAACGTGGGGGTGTGTGGGAGGGCAGAAGGCTCTGTGGAAAGACGCTGCTCCCCCAGAGCACGGGCGAGCCCGGCAGGGCCCACCTGGTGTGGAGCAGCTCGATCTCGGTGCTCCTCTCCCTCTCCAGCTTGCTGTAGGCCTCGTGGTGCCGCCGAGCCTCCTCCTCCAGGGCCTGCTGGGCCATGGTCTCCTGATCCTTCACCATCTCCTCCAGCTCGTGCACCCTGAGGAGAGAGGCACGGACTCCAGTCCAGATCAAGCTCTCATGGCCCGTACCTTCTCATCCTGATGCAGGCTGTGGCCATGGGGAGCCCTGGACCCTGAGATACTAAATCCCTACTGTGGGAGGTGACGGCGCGTTTGCCAGGCCTGGGGGCCAGCAGTTTTGCTGACATATGAGTTAGAGACAACATGGCATCTAAAGAGAGGTGTGTCAGCCATGCACCCCACAGAAGGGAAGGCATGGCAGTGGGTCCAGAGGGGAGCAAGGTTGTACCTGAGAAAGGGGAACTCCCAGCGTAGGCACAGGGAGGGACAGCAAGCCTCACCATGGCTGCACGCACCAGCCCTCGGGCCTCACCTCTTCTTTTCACTCTCTTCCTTCCTGGCCAGCACCCCTCTGTTCAATAATTCAGCTCACTGAGGGGCGCTGTGACTCCTGGCTAATGGCCCTGAGCACGCCAGACCTGGGAAAGGGCTGGGCCCCACTGTGGATGTTATAACCCCACTACCAGGGGCCTAGGTGGTACATCAGTATGGGGCACATCTCACTAGCAACAGTGGGTGAGGCTGACCTTCAAAAGATTGAGGACCAGACCCTGGGTGGGTATCAGTTTACCAAGTTTCAGGCCATCCCATGAGGACAACTGAACCCTACATGCACTAACTCGTTGCAGTCGGCATTGGGAAACACGTTCAGTGGGCCTCTATCGGGAGGAGGGTGCAGCAATGCTGGGACTCTTGCCCCTGGTGTGAGCCCAGGACTTCCTCCAGCCTTTCCCTCTACAGAGCTTGTCCCCAGGAAGGGAAGTCAGGCTCTGATCACTGTCAGACAGAGAGACATGAGAGTGGATTCCAACTCTTGCCTTAGACCTGTCCTGGGGCTGCAGACCAGTGGGGTCAAGGTCAGGCTCCTCTCTCCCTGTCCTCAAAGACCTGTCCTCCTGGGCACCCTACAGGGCAGAGCCATGTAGCAAGGGGCTGATGCATCACAGACCCTCAGAGCTGGGAGGGTGTGCAGGTTACCTCCTTCAGGGGACCTTAGTAACAGGGACAGCCTTCTGTTCCCCAAAGTCACAGCCAATGCCTCCAAAGCCAAAGCCCCGGCTTCTGACCTGTGCACCAGCTGGGTGTTCTCCTGCTTCAGCTTGCTCTTCAGGTCCCCATTTGTCAGGCTGTCATTCTCCAGTTCTGTCACTTTTTTTTCCAGAAAGCTAACCTACAATAAGGAGGCAGAGGTGGGAGTGGAGAAAACCTTTGAGTCCCCAGGACCGAGAACCTAGAAACCGTGGAACTAATGGCCAGGTCCTCCAACTGACTGTGTATGAAGAGCACAGTCATGTTCGGTGGGGGTGAGGATGGGGTGGGGTGGATGTGCCCATGTGATCTGGGCCACCTACTTCCAATTCCTGGGCAGGAACAAGATCTCTCAAGTCCCCAGAGAGCATCCCAGGGTGCTCTCCAAGACCCTCAGCGAGCAAGCATGCATTAAGTTCCTCTTCTGCCCACCCAGAACCCACCTTCTCTGTGATGTCATTGTCACAAGAGTCAATGCTGTCCCGGAACAGATCCTCAGTGCTGCCATTACTGCTGCTGAAGTTGCTGCTGTGCATGAGCTGCCTGCAGGGGTGGAGGGAAGCTCATCTGGTTGCAGAGGCCCTCCGAGATGGGTCCAGACTCAGCCCATGGGCTGGGTAAGCACCCACTACCCCAGTGGGGAGCCAGGAACCCCCTCTAAGGAGGCTGCCCTCACCCAGTCAGGGGAGAAGAGTTGTCTGACCTTTGAACTCATGAGATCATTTAGCTCAGAGGATGGCAGCCAGGCTGCTAATCCCCTGTGAGCCCCTGGCAGACACGGCCAATCCATTGCAGCTCTTTCCTGCTGCTTCGGAACCCTTGGGGAGGGCAGAGGGAGAGCGACCCACCCAGATTGTGCTGGGCAGTGGGCTGGTGAATGAGACTGGAAATAGGCAGGTGCTGTAACTCTTGCCTGGAGCAAAACCCAGCTGCCACTCCATGGGGGCTCCCACTTCCCATTCCTTGATAGGCAGCGGCCGGGGTCTCTACCAAGAGGTGACTCCAGCTCCTGGGACAAAGCCTGGGCACTCGCTGGCAGCTCCCAGAGCCCTGGGTGGGGACCTGGAGCCAGTCTATAGAACCAGAGTGGGAACCTGGCAGTCCCAGGAAGTCAGCTGTGTAGGATTTAACCTGGAGCAAAGTGACCATACCCCACCTCTTCCAGTGGAAGCCCAGGGTCTCTGTTGGCCCAGCTGCCAGGTCCAGAGCACAGGGCAGGGCATGCACAGCAGTGAGGTGCGCTGTGTCTCTCAGGGCCTCCCTGGTGTGCCTGCCTGAGGTTGAGGCAGCTGAGCGTTTGGAAAGGCTGACTGCTGCCAGAAGGGACAGGGATGGGGACAGAGAGGAGGCTGGCCCTTCTCTTCCAGGAGTGTGCCTTCTCTGGCTACTCTGCCTGCACTGCCCCAGCATGCCTTATTCGACTCTTCTCATTCAGCCACATGCAGGACACTGGCGGAGTCTGGGCTGCTGGAATGGAACCAGCCAGCCACCTAAGCAGCAGAAGCACAGTTAAGGGGGACAGCATTCAACCTATCCTCCCCTGAGCGGGGCCTTACCTTCCAAAGGCCGTGCTAGAGATCTTTCGGTTGGGACTATAGAGGAAGAGAGGGAGAAATGGTCATTGAACAGTGGGGCTCTAGTCTACCCCTACTCTGCCCCAGCTGCAAGATACGAAAGTATCTTTTGATCCTTTTTCCCACCCACTGAAGGGACTTCACTAATCAGCTTGGTCCCGAGAAGCAGCACCCTGATTTTCCTGTTGCAGGCCCCCAAGGATCAACGTCATTCTGAGAGTGCTCTCACCTGCCAAGACAGTGGGAACACCTTGCCTGCTGCTGCCTCCTCCGGCCCCCACCCTGGCCACTGCCCCCATGCTGGGCCTTCGGCCTCACCTGTTGGCCTTCAGGTTTTTCAGTCGGGCTTCCAAGTCATTCAGCAAGTTGATTTTCTTACAGCACTGAGAGCAGTAAACATCCAGCAATTCACTGTTATATGCATGCCGCATTTTCCTAGGTGTCTGCCCTGCACTGATTCACGAGAGAAGAGGAAATCACGTTAATTGCCATCCAGTCTGGTATCCACCCTGTCCTGCCAAGCTTACTTTACTGGATTCCCCGATACCCAGGAATCCTGTGTGCATCTGTTCGGTGGGAGAGGGAGGAGAGGAGGGAGTAGAAATATAGCACCTTCCCTCCTCCAAAACTCTCAAAGAGAAGATGCCAATGAGTTGTACCCATTTTACAGATAAGGCAACTGAGAGCTACCATCAGAGTAAGTCATGACTCAGGAATGCAGAAGGTTTCACAATAGGCCACCTGGAAGGACCCTTCGATACTGAAGTTCTAGGAAGCAAGACAACAGAGAACCCCCCTCGCCCTCCCGGGTCTGCAGCCTCTCAGGTTGGCTAATTCTATTTCTTCCCCAAGAGGGAAGGAGAGAGGAGGAACTCCAGACCCCTAGTCAGGGTGCAAAGGCAGCACCCCCAAACCCTAGGAGCAAAACTTATATGGCTCAGGACTCTGCCTGCCAAACCACATCCCTTCCAGGGATGAGGCTGAGTTGGTTCTGCCACTTTTCCTGGACCCCAACTCCATTCTAGACCAAGGGGTCACCTGGAAGATACTGAAGATCCCAGGTCCGAGTAGACATTGGTCCTGGTCTCGTCGTCAGGGCAGGGGCTGCTGGGGGCGCAGTCCACATCGTCCCCCTCCCCATAGTCTTCAAACTGCTCCTCGTTGCTGACGAGCGAGGTGGTGGAGTGTGTGGAGAGGTCTGATGTCGTCGTGGATGGAGTATGGGCCAGGGGCCTACGTATCAGAGAAGTACTGGTTGTTAACGAGGCTGCAGCCTGGGTGTGGAAACCAACCACCCCACCAGGAGGTCGACCGGTACTACAGATGTCAGGAACCGGATCAAGTGTGTACCTTGTGACCTGGTAGGTACGCTTTTGGGACCTTGTCCTACGGGAATCATCTCACTACAGAAACTGTTTCTGCCCAAGAGATATTCAAACCACTGCTACTCTCGAGCAGCAAACATTGCTTACGACCTAAGGGTTAACCTACAGCTACATTAAGTTACACTTATTAAATTATAACGTATTAGTAAATTAAAGTATGGACTGTCAAATCATTGTTGAAAGGTTTATAAAAATATTGGCAATAATGCAGAAAAATTAATATAAATTAGAATTAGATATAAAATTCTATATATAGTACAATTGAGCATGAAAAGGTCTATACAGAATAAGAAAAAGTAGGTATTTAAGCAGTAATAGAACCTGGCTTTGGGTGGTGGGCCTAGGAGTAAAGTTAGTTATTTCCTCTCCATTCTCACTTTCCCCAGTTTTTTCAAGTTCTGTTTAACTGGCTTATACTTTAGTGATGAAATGAAGTTTTAAAATAAATAACAATGAGTTACTAGGTGAGACGCTTCCCTCAGTTCATAGAGGGAAAACACACGCAGGTCAGAGACCCTGGGCCCCTCATGAGTGACCCACAGTATGGCCAGTATCAGGGCTGGTTGAGCCCCGTGTACAACCTAAGAACAAAGAGAAATACAACGCATCACCTGCTAAGATATAGCTTCCTTTTAGTCATTATGCAGTCATTCCTGCATGAATTACGGTTTCACCAAGCTACTAAGCCTCCACACTTATAAATGGGAAACCTAAAAGAAGTATAATGGGTTAAGGCAATGATTCTCAAACTGTGCCCCTGAGGAACCCCAGGTTCTAAAAATCACAGTGTGAATGACAGGAGGCTAAAGATCAAATCTTCCGGTACTTCTGCCCAATTTTATTTACTTACTTATCTGCCTTAAGGTTCTTTGGCACCTCAGGTTTAATTAATCACACCCTTCACTTCCTCCTATAAATTTCACTAAAACTCTTGGCACCTGCTGCCGGCTGCCTCCTGGTAATTGATAGGTCCCAGAAACCAATGGGAACAATCAAGTGGCAAGTAATTAGCCAAAAAACCAACGGGTCTATTATGAGTGACCATTTGTCCTTGGGTTGGTTAGTCACAGGAATAGCTGATGGACCACTCCCAGGAAACACCTGGATAAACAACTCCACAGGGCCCACCTCAAACTCCCAGAGCCCCTGAGTTTGAGAACCCTTGCATTGAGAAAATGTATCAGGTTGAGCCATATGAAATTGCCTTTTTTTAATGGGAGAAAATGATTAAAAATTGACTGTTTCAAATGCTTCAACCGATATTGGAACCTCTCTCCTGCCTCTCCAAATCTCTGGGTTGGCCATGACCAACACCTTTTTCTGATACATGGGATGTCAACTCCCAATTGTCACAGCCTCTTCAGTTGTGGCAGTGGCTGTTGCCCGTCACCCCATAAACATTGTATAATTCCTCCAGAGACTGAGTAAGGGCTGGGAGGGGAGGGACTCCCTCTGTTGACACCACCAAAAAATGACACTGCTCCATTGGGAAGTCACTAGTCTTAATGATGTTTTTAAATAACATTTCTAACTACAATAACTCATGAGCAATAAAGAAAATACAGAACATATAGTAGAGTAGATGGGTGGTAATTAAAACAATCAATAACCCTATCATCCTGAAAGAACTGCTAATTTTCTGGAGTAATTTTTCATAGGCATTTCCTAATGGATATGCATATGATTTTCTGTTTTGTTTTTAACAAAACTAAGATCATATCTCATGAACATCTTTGTAACCTGCCTTTTAAAAGTTAATTGAGACCATATATCCCATATCGCTGAAGTCAATTAAAACTTGATTTTGCACGGCTGTCTAAAATCCCCAAACTAGCCCTACTGTTAAACATTTGGGTTTCTTAGAATTTTTTGCTATTTGGAAAACACACAAAACTTATGCCTATAATGCAAATCCTGAGCACTTCTCACATTTACTTCTGGGGAATCCTTCAAAGCAGCGGTCCCTAATTTTTTGGCACCAGGGACCAGTGCTCCTATAAGAATCTAATGCCCAGTGATCTGAGGTGGAGCTGAGGTGGTGATGCTAGCGCTGGGGAGTGGCTGCAAATACAGATGAAGCTTCGCTTGCTCGCCTGCTGCTCACCTCCTGCTGTGTGGCTCCATGGGGAGTAGGCCACAGACCAGTACCGGTCCTCAGCTCAGGAGTTGGGGACTCCTGTCTTACAAGAACTGCACCTCTGGGGCCAGGGGCCACATACGGAGTTCCAGACAGTTTTAACTCACTTGTCCTCTGGCAAGAACAGGCTCTCCAGGCCCCCGTCTTTCTCCTCGGTGGGACTCCTGACTGATCCCTCCAGGCTCTGGGTGCTTTCCATGGGGCTGCCCATGTCTGACTCCGGGGGGCCCTCAGGTAGAGCCAGCGTCATAGCCTCCTCTTCATCCTCAGGAAAGAAGCCGGGCTCCCTGGGGAGGATCTCACCATCAGCAAAGGTTGGGCCTGGCACCTTGCTGCCCTGAGAAAGACAGAGGGGGACAGAATGAGTGAGGTTGGCTTCCCAGGGCTCAGCATTCCTCATCAGATGGCAAGGACTTTGGCAGGGGCAGGGACCCTGAGATCCTGAGTATGAGAACGTCTGCCAGGTGATTCCTCTCACGGGGCCTCTCACACTGCCTGCCTCATGGAAGCCCAGTGAGGAGTCTGAACCCCAGAGACAGCCATCCATAGAGAAGGGCCACAGCCGATCCAGCCACATGGCTCGGGGTACCTGGGCAGCTCATCAGGGTCCCCAGAGGAAGTCTGCACAGGAAACCAAATGACTTGGGGAAAGCTTCTTGGTGATAGGTTTCAGGGCCTAGCCACAATGAATGGCCACCAAGGACTACAACCCTGACCCTAGCTGTTTGCTGCAACATGGAACAGGGACATTTGCACAGCACGATGTGAATCCATCCTCCATGACTCTGGGCCTATCCAGTAACCTCTCAGAACCTCAGTTCTCTCTGTAAATTGGGAATGGCAATGAAATCTTACAGTATCACTACGTCACAGTAGGACCTCAATTAATAAGTCCTGGCCACAGGACATGCCAATCTGAAAAGGACGGTCTGCCTTGGCCCGGCCCCAGCCACACAGGGGAGCAAGAATACCAGGTCTCTCAATTCTGAGCTTTGGGCTGGTCCCCAGTGCCTAGCACACTGCTCGGGACAACGTCAGTGTGAGACAAACATGTGCCTGAACCCTTTGCTAAAATCATATAGAAGAAGCGGTATGGCTTTATTCAGCATTTACCCTCGTCTGAGGGACAGCTTTCTACAAACTATTGGCGCTTCTTTATCTCTAAGGAGGTATGTACCTCCCAGGTGGCACTGCTTCTACCCGCTCCAATCCCAGATGACAACCTATTCCCAAGATTCCAGGGTATACTCCTCGGCTAGGGCTGGTAGAGCCCCACATCAAAGGTGCTTCTTCCAGCCCCAGAGCTGTAAGAAGGGTAACAGTAACACGGCCTGTGAAAAGCCTCTGGACCCCTTACACAAGCTCAGGATCAGGGACATCTGAAGATCGAGGTCAGTGAAAGGCCTGGCTGCGCCTGCCCAGACGTGTGCAGCTAGTGGTGAGCAGGCAGCTCTCCTGGGGTCTATCCCTACCAAGATATCCCAGACTAAGAAGAGACGATGATTAATGAGCTTGGCTCCTGCCAGTGCCATAACTCTGGCTGAGCACCAGATGGACCAATAAAGTCAGCATCAGGCTGCCAGGCCTCCCTGCCTGTGGAGGCTGAGGGGCTGTGTAATTAAAACTACCCCTAGTGTTCACATAGCCCTTTCCACCTAGATGTCACTATTCCAATCCCGCATGGATCTTCTACCCTAAGCAAGCCCTCTGCAAGCCCAAAGGTGTATCCCAGGAGAAACAAAGGGAAACCAGCATTTACTGAGCAGCCACCAAGTTTCGGAGACCGATACGTTATCCCATCTGGGCTGATACGTTATCCCATCTGGGCTTTGTGACAACTCTTCAGGGCAATGATTCTTATCCCCATTTTACTAATGAGGTCATTAAGGCTCAGAGAGTCACCTCTCAGAAGTTCTCTGGCCAGCCTCTGAGGTCTCCACCTGCCTCTGGCCACCGCATGCTCGGTTCCCTTTATCACTGACGTCACCCACACTTCATGGATTTTCAAACCTCATGGTGACAACGAGGAGAGCACACATTATAGGGACATGTTACTGATTATGAAGCCCAGGCACCCCACCTAATGAATGCTGCAGCTTCTACAGGCTGCCCACTTCCTACACCCAGCAGGAAACCCTCTGTCGATACCTCAAGAGAAAGCAGGAAGGAGGGAGACAAGGAGCGTGCTCTATTCCTCTGTCCAGAAGCTTTTTACCTTCTCAGATCCACTCACAGGGGAAAGTTAGCACTGCTAGGAATCTCTGCTTTGTGGCTGACATGAGCACTTGGCCATTTTGCAAATGGGTGTTTCTTTTGGTCTTAATAGCCCTGTGTGTTGGATCTCCTCTCCCCCTGCGCAGGTGAAGTGACTTGCCTGGGGCCACGTAGGAGTTAGTGGCAAGGCAGGACTGGGACTGGACTATGAGTCACAATGCCCACACTCTCTACCCACAGCACCACGTCCGCAGAGGTCCCAAGGAGGCTGCTGCCCACCCTGCTCCGAGAAGGCAGGCAGGGCGCCAAGTGGAGACCAGCGTCTGTGCTCAGCTGTCTGGCTTGGCCTCTGGACAACTTGTATTTGCCTCACTGGACACCAAAACACAGAGGGTGAGTTTCTGCTGAGCACTCTGCGCTGAGACACCCAACTCAAGGTATGCAGGTGGGAACCCTCTCACCTGACATCCCACAGCAATGTACCCACCTCCTGGCAGCTGGCCCAAGGCCCAGAGTGGCTTCAGAATGGCTTGTCTCAGCCACAGGTGGGGCAGTAGAAAGGATCAGACGCCCCCACAGGGGTTTCTCCCTCCTAATAAGACCACCACCTCTTCAGCCACATTTTTACCCTCTGACTGAGCAGAGTCCACATCTGCCTGGCCTGGCACACTTGACAGAGCTTCCTGTCTGTCTCTCACGCACATCCCCATTCATCTCTCACAACAGCCCTCGGAGAGCTCCGGGAGGTGTACAGAGATGAAGGATTCCCTGTCTCCGTCTCATACATGGGAAGATGAGGCTACTGGGCCTGGGCTGCCCTGGAAGTTCCCAGCTAAAGAAGGCCCTGCGGAGCCCTGAAGCCAGCTCCCTCAGGCCAAGGCCAGGCCCCTCACCCACCCCCTTGCCTGCGTGCTCTCTCTCTCTCTCAATATGCTGGCCTTTTCTCTTAAAATTAGCTGCTCCCTACATTAACACCTTTTCATTCAGCCCACAATTGCTTGCCTAAGGCGAGTGGAAATTTTAATTATAACTTCAAAACTGTTTTCCTCTCAATTCAAATAATATAAAGACAATTATAAGAAAATTAATTAACTGTGCACCTCGGTTAGTCTGGGGCAGTACCACTTCGGCATCTGTCCTGGACAAAAGTGGCCCTGTCGCCTCTGCTCCTCCCACAGGGCCTCGGTCTCAGCCCAGCTCCCATTCCCCTGGACCTTCTGGGGAAGGGCTTGGGTGCAGCACTGTGAGGGGTGCTGCTGGGGTTGGAGGATAGCCTGCTCTGACGCCAGCACCTCAGTCGGGGAGGCAAAGCGGGGGCGGCTGCTGGAAGGCAACCTCGAGCCACTACTTACTCGGCTAGGAGAACCTAAAGTCATACTAGAAACCCTTTTGAGCCAGTTTCTTTCTTTTATGTTTTTTAGATGAAGTTACAGGGGGAAAAGAATTCATACGTAATAAAAATACCATCCTCACAGGGTTTCTAGGAGGCCTGGGAAGATGCTCGATCTGAGAGCACAGGCGTCCGGAGTTACCTTCCAGCCAGGCCACCTGAGCTGGTCAGACCCCCTCGTGGAGCCCCCATGTCACGTGTGCTTCCCAGAAGAGGGAGATCTCTGGGGAATGTGCAGAAGCTAAAGATAAATCCGCCTGGGGGCGGTGAGGCAAATTCTACTGCAGCTGCAAGATTCCAGTGAGTTTCTGGACAAACCTAAGGCTGTTCCCAGGCAGCAGGAACCTGGGCAGTGGCAGAGCCTTATCTTTCCGTGTATCGGATGGAGACGGTGAATTCTTAATCTTTGTACACCTCCCGGAGCTCTCCCAGGGCTGTAGAGATGAATGGGAGATGTGTGTGACAGACAGACAGACAGGATGCTTTGTCAAGTGTGCCAGGCCAGGGATGGCAGGGAGGTCCTTCCCACGAAAGCTGGGGAGTGGGGAGCAGGTGAAAGAGAACAGCAGTGCTCCGAAGGGGACCTCGTGCTCCTGGGCCTTTTTGTGTTGAGAACTCTGAGGCCCAGGGAACTGCCTGCTCACCCAGGCCACATGGTCTGTGTCTAGATCTGTCTCCACAGTGGTGTGCTCCTCGGGGTGCAAGAGAACACCCAGGGTGGGGGCCCAAACCTAAGGCCTGCTCTGGAGGGGTGGCAGAATCAGGGGAGTGGGGAATGGGTTTCCACAGAAAGGATGTGTTTGTTTTTTTGGGGAGCCTTTAGGGAAGTGACAGTATCCTCAGCAGGCAGCACCAGGCAACATCTGTGGGTGACCCCTATCCTTAGGATGCTCCGTGACTCAGAGCCAGCTGTGAGCACAGAACTCCCCATCTGTGAGGGCACAGGCCAGCCACTGTGGGCCACACAGGTGTGGTTGGCATATGCCCAAACCACTCCAGATCACTTCCTCCCACACTGCTGACGGGTCCCAGAAGCGAGGGGAGATCACAGAGATGCAGTATTCCTTCACAAGGCCCAGGACCTTTGCAAGTACAGCTGGGTGAGGGAGGGCACAGCTCTGGAACCTAGCCAACTGAGTTTTAATACCAGCTGGCCCAGCCACTCACCAGCTGTGTGACCTTGGGCAAGTGACCTGTAAGCCTCTGACTCCTTACACCTATAGAATGGGGACCATCACCTCTACCTTAGAAGCTACTCTCAGGGCCACACATGACAATTTTCACAAGCACCGGAGAGTCAGCAGCTATGCGAGCGTTAAATTATGATCTGGCCTTGTTAGGGGCTGTGTTTTACAGAAGCTGAGTTGTTCTGCCCGGTCAGTCACAGGTCCTGGATAGGCAAAAGGCCAAAAAGTACACCCTCTTCAAGAGGTTAGGGCTGGGGAATCATCCAACACCATAGGTCTCTGAAGAGTTCTGAGGCCCAAGGCTGGGAAAACAGGCTGCAGCCAACCGCTCTGGCAGGGGAGGTCTACACCGCCAGCGTCCCCTCCACATCCCACCCTATCTCCAGCTGGGGCCAGATGGAGCTGACTGGGGCTGGAGGTGGGAGCCTGCAGGCACACGGCCTGCTTGTGAGTCCCCACTCCAGTCTCAAGAGCAGCATTCACCCGCCAACAAGCCCTAAAATCACCCCTTGCTCTGTAGGAAGTTGGCATGGGCTGAATTCAACA